GGTTGGTCAAGGAGGACCTGCCTTTCCTGAACCCGTCTCAACGGCATCCTGTTCAAATGGTGGTTAACAATGCCTATGTCTGACAAAATGTTGTCTCCAATTCCTTATTAATGTCAACTGAGTTCAGTTAAACTTTGGTTCCACTAACCTACAGAGGAATCCAACATGTAGTTGAGCACTAACGGCAGTACCTCTGATATATGAATTCACCTTTTCCCTTTAGATTTTCAGATTTGCATTGTATGTTTACTGATATGTGGCTAGCCATTCAAAAAAAGATTTGCTCTCAGGGAAGGTGTTTAAATTTTCATGTTTTTTCTTGCGGTAGGGCTAACTAAGTACATGTAGGCGTTCAGTTTAGGTGTCTGATTGACCAATACTGGTTTAATAAATCTGCTAAGTTAATTGCATTCCTATAGCCTGAAGTACTATCTGAAGAATATATTTGCTACTGGGAAGAAAGTTTGTTTATGTTAATCAATAGGCTTGGAAGTAGGGAAGATGATCGCTATACAGACTTAAGAGGAAAGAGAGCGTCTGCTTGTACATGTGACTATGTTATATCCCTCTCTGTGATTCCATCTGAGCCTTTTCATGCTGAAATTGAAAGGAAAAACTGTTAGTCCACTCAGATTTTTGAATGGATTTCAAGCTGTGATTCTTGAAGCCTTGTCAGACCTTGTGAGTTCTCAGAAAAGGTGCAATAACATGTTTTTCATGCAGTAAATTAAGGTACATGCAGGAGTTGTCAGAATGCTGGAATAAATGACAGAATGAAGTACATGTCTCAAAGAAATAGGTGTGAGTCTGCTCACTGAGGAAACTCCTCTGTCAGAAACTGGGACAGGACAAAAAAGTTAATGAACTTCACTTTAGATTTGCTGTTAGTCTTGGGGAAAATAGTATATAATCATGCAATTGTAATCTGTGTCATAATGCGCATAAGGACTACACCAAGATTTGAATTGCAAGTAGCATTCTGGCAGTTCCTAACTTTTAATTCTCTTTTTTTCACCCCTTAGTCTTGGTACATTGCTAAAGTATGGTAGTGTTATTTCTGTGTATTTTTAGGGGACAGAAGCCAAGGCAGTGTCTATGCCAGAGAAATGGAGAGGGAATGGTGTTTATAAGCTACAGTACACACATCCCCTTTGCGAAGAAGGTTCTGCTGGTTTGACTTGTGTGCCTTTGGGAGATCTTGTTGCTGTTAATGGTAAGTTAGTCAAGTTTTTATCCTGGATGCACATTGCTAAATATCACCATTATTTGGCAAGAGAAAACTTAAATGCACTTTTGTGAGCTTGGTTTAGAACGGCACCTTGATTATTCAGGTTGCTGAGGTGCAAGAAATGCTTCTTCCTGATGCTGAATATTCTTGGTATTTCCTGTCTCTGTATTAACTGTTTCTTTACCTCTAATGATAACAACAGATCGTCCTTAGGTGATTCACCTTGCCTTTTCATTGCAATGTTGTAGAAATCTGTTTCTTGTCTCATTTCATGGGAACTTTGGTATACATTGCCAAACATTAGAAGAGGTAGATTTGCTCCAGGTACAGTATTTTGTCTTACCTCATGTTCTTTGCAAGACTTGTAAACAACTTCCAGACTATGTATTCTTCAGCTTTAATGTATAATCTTTCCTGTATCACACTAACAGTTTAACCGTGGTCTCAAAAATTGTATTTAGTTTAAGCTACTCAATCCTGAAACTTTAAGGAAATCTTATTTTTTGAAGCAATTTCCATATCATTTGGTGTTTTTTGAGTTTGTTTGTGGTTCTGTTTGCCTTTTTTCTTGAGCAATTCCACATTTTTGCAGAACCAGTATGAAATTGGGGCTTGATTTTAATTTCAATATATATTTGATTAAAATTTTTGTCTTTATTTGTGAAACTTGTAACAGATTATGCCAATTTGGATACACACATATGTTTTCACAGAACATGTACACATTTTGATCAAATGTTTTAACCAAGTCAGGTTATGATTAGATTCAGGACAGTGTTATAATTTCCATGCATGTAGTGTTCATATAGTAAGCTTCTTGAGTCTTTTCTAGTTAGTGTTTCTCTAATGACTGGGTTGTTATAATGGCTTGCTGTGTTACTTCTCTGTCCATGTGATAGAACTGTTGAAGACAATACTTGGTTTCTGTCACCAAGATCTTTGTTTATTCCCTGCTATTTTAAGTTCCACTTTATTTTTCTGAAATTTTTATTTGTCTAGCTGCTTCCTATAGTTGGGTATTTTCCTTGAGGGAGTCTGATAAGAGAGGAGAGCAAAACACCTCTGAAGGATAAGGCAGTAATGAAGTGATCTTTGTCATCTCCTAATGTATTTTAAATTTTGAAAATATTTTTCTTTTCTGACATTTGCAGCAACATTAAAAATCAACAAAGAGATTAAAGGTGTTAAGAGAATACAGCTATTGCCAGCATCCTTCGTTTGCTTTCAGGAGCCAGGTATGATTGTGCTGTGATAGTCATAGTAATAAACTGAAAAGTAAGGAAATAATGCGATTAGTAAGGATGTCCTTCAGTAGAGGACCAAATAGGTAGAGAACAGCAAAGAATAAAAAAAAATACAGTTACCATTTAGGTGACTCATAGCTTTGTGGTAAAAGGAGTTCAGAGTGTAGCCATTTACTCACATTTTGTTGTTGAAACAATTTGAATTTATTGGATTAACTGTGTAAGGAAAGAACCTTGCAAAGCCGAGTCACCCTTTGGCCCATATGTCTGCTATTTATGACATCCTAAGCATATGTGTGAATCTCTGGGGCAGCAATGCTGGATTATACCCCCTTTCTGCCAGGCAGTTCAGGACTTCACAGGCTGATGGTACTTACACTCTTCTTGTGGCACCGTAATGGTTACATTCTTTTTGTCAGAAAACATGTGCTGACCACATGGCTCTCTCCAGAATGCCAAAATTAGAGGGAACACTAAGGCGAGGGAGAAGAGAAGGGCAGATAGATGTGGATCTTTGTGAGCACAGATCTGACTAGCCTTTTGTTCTCTGAAGTATGTATGAACGGCTTCTTTGGTGGTTGAGGCTGACTCGGTGTCCTGCACTGTGTCCTGGGTAGCCCCAGTTGCTGATGTACAAGTCTAGTCAAAAGGCGTTAGAAGAATAACTGAGCACTGAAACGTGTCCAATGTAATAGTAAGAATCTTCTGTGTCCTATTTCTTTAGAGAAGAGCATGTAAAGACCTTCCTGTCAGAAAAATTACTATTGCAAGCATTTACAACATAGGTGTGTGTTACACATGAGCTTTGAAATCTATCAAGGGTATCTCTGACAGCTTGAGAGTCAGTTTGTTTCTGAAGAACTCAATTATTTCACCTAAAGGTGCTTTTTAAGGCTAAAGGAAAGCCTGGTCTGGCCACAGAACTGGTTTGTAGCTTGTCAATGAATTACTTAGTGCATGATTGTTACACTCTAGCTGCAGAGCTGCTCCCATCAAGATTACAAGCAGGTTACAGTTCTGCTTATAAGAAAACCGTAAGTCTTTTGCTCTTAGATAATTTTTTCACTATAACCTCCTGAAGTTAAGCTTTTTACCTCTCCTCTTTGATAGAAAAGGTTGCAGGTGTTTACAAAGATCTTCAGAAATTATCCCGTCTCTTTAAAGACCAGCTGGTTTACTCTCTTCTGGCTGCTGCCCGACAAGGTGAGAGAAAATATTTACAATTAGAGATGGTACTTCATGGTTGGGGGTGGAAGGAAGGGGGTCTATCTAAAGCCTTGAAGGAAGAGTGTTAGAAACACCTGTTCAGTGATGGGTATATAAAGAGTAAGCATAATGTAATTTATACATTCTAATGAAATTATATTAATCTTTGTATCTCAGAAAATGTTAATATAATGATAATTTCCTGGTTTTCATTTTTTATTGTCTCTAGTCTCACTTAAGAGACTGAAGCGGAGTGGCTGTTTTCCACACTTAGTGATGGGAAAATCATACCACAATAATTTTTGTGGCAGTAGTTCTGTAGTTTTGATCCATTTCTTTGTCAAAGCAGAAAAATTTACATAGCATCATATTTGGAAGTCTAACCCCAGGAATGGGAATGATCTTCTTAGTAACTGATCGTTGAGGGCTCGGAAAAGATGGTAGGAACTAAACCAAGCTAGTGTTTTGGAGCAGTAGGAAGCCAGGCATTCTCTGCATAGGTATTGCCATAAAGGGTGTCAACTTTGTATTCTGAAGACTACTCAATGGGATTCCCTCTAGACTTCAGTGCAGTAAGGTTTTATGTGAAGCGTGTGCTCTGTATTTAACGTGGTTTTTGTGGGCCCATGAAATTGGGCAGGTCTGTCTTTCTTTACCTTCCTGTCTTCCTTTGTTCTGTAGCCTATAAACGTAGTTAGGTGTCTGGAATGTTTCTTAGGCTTACAGTGGCCAATAGTAGTCAGTATAAAGTGTCGTTTGCCCAATTGTGTTCACTCTGTAAATGTACTTATATTTGCAAGAGATCTGTATTATAAGAAGTCATGTCACAGTACTTTCTGAGAAAAGTGGTATAACTCGGGCATCAAAGGGAAATGATTTAAGGAAAAGATTATAATGTCCTTTCTTTCTTTTAGGGTCTTTAGAGATAGAGTAAACTCTGCACCACTTAGATAATGCTTCTATTTTCTCCATTTTGTAGCTCTGAACTTGCCAGATGTGTTTGGGTTAGTGGTCCTTCCTCTTGAGCTCAAGCTTCGGATTTTCAGACTTCTGGATGTTCGTTCACTCATCTCTCTTTCTGCTGTTTGCCATGACCTTTACACAGCTTCAAATGACCAGCTTCTATGGAGGTTTATGTATCTGCGAGATTTCAGAGGTAATGTTGAGACACATGTTTTTCTAATTACATTCTCATGTGAACAGAGGGATTAGGTCTGACAGACTTTTGATAAGAGGCTCCTCAGGCAACCACTTCTGATTTTTAAACACTGTGAGTAAATGCAGTCATTTTTGATGCTAACCAGTACAGTTGGTCAGGTGTAATTCAGGTAGATGTGCGGTTTTCTGCCGTGAAAACTGGTGCCAGTCTGAAAAACCATTACTGATGGACCACAAAGTTACTCCCATTGTGTGGTGCAGACCTCCCTTGTTTTCATCTGTTTCCCTGGCTACCTTGGCGTACTGGCTATTGCAGATATTAGGAAGTGGAGGGAACAGATATTCCTGAAAATCAGAAGATATTGAAGAAATAATGTGATCAAGGGAAGTGCTGTCAGAAGTCAAAGATGGGGGCAGTGTTTCTGGGATTTCTGTACTTACTCAGTAACTTTTGGAGATAATGCTTTAGGTAGAATGGGTGTGCCCGTAAGTTGATTACTTATTGAATGGTCCTGGAGCTTTATATTTTTTAAGATGCATTATCTTTATGAAAAATGTACTGACCAAAAGTGGATGTGGGTTTTTTTTCATCTGTTGATTGTTCTTCAAGTTCTGACAAAACTGGGCGTCTGTGGCATGAATACATCTTAAAAATAAAACAGATTGCTCTTCATTTTTTGCCTTTTTTTTTTTGTAGATCCTATTGCAAGGTCTCGTGACACAGACTGGAAAGAAGTAGGTGGCTTTTTTTATATAATTTCTCTGAGATTAGTCTCCACGGGCTAATTTGAGAATAAAGCATAGACTTTGGGAGGCAGTTAACTTTACGTTAAATTTTAATTTAAATGTTTGGTGTTCTGTGTACACATGTTGAGAATAGGAGAAAACAGCATCAACAAGTTACATGGTGCATGCCCAAATTGTGGGTTAGAGGTCTTCCAGAGATGCTGTGTTTGGTCTTTGGCAGGCAGGGGAGTTGCTGTTCTGGGTTTTCAGACTGGTGAGGAGTGCTTTTCTGAGATGTGCTGTAGAACTGAATGCAGTTGCTGAAGGTGGAACACAAAGCACTTAGAGAGCTTTAAAATTCCTTTGTTTCTGTCTGCAGCTATACAAGAAAAAGTTGAAACAGAAGAAGGAGGCCCTGAGATGGAGACACATGATGTTTTTGCCCCCTACACCTCATCCAATCCCCTTTCATCCCAACCCATTCTATCCTAATCCCTTTCCTCCCAACCCTTTCCCATCAAACCCGATCTATCCCCCAATGATCATTGGTGGAGAATATGATGAGAGACCAACACTTCCATATGTTGGAGACCCAATTAACTCGCTCATTCCTGGCCCAGGAGAAGCACCAGGCCAGTTTCCTCCATTCAGACCACATTTTGACCCAATTGGTTCCTTGCCTGGAGCAAACCCTACACTTCCAGGACGAGCTGGTCCCAATGACAGGTTTCCACCTAGACCCAGCCGAGCCCGCCCCATGGACATTCGCCGTGCATTCATTTGATTTCTGCTTTTTCCTTCAGTGAGTTTTCTAGTCCCTGAGCTTGCTTTCTAACAGCAGGAGATTGCAAATCCCAGGCACTAACATCTGCCTTCTCTTCAGATTGTGGCAAGAACATGTGTGCATGGTAAATGTTTCAACCACAAAGGCTGGGTTTGTTTTATGCTCTGGTAGTACTGCACCACCTAGCACTAAGGTCTATTTCACAAAGAGCTACAATTTAGAACAGGTTGTTCTGCTTCCTCCTGCCTCGCCCTTAATAGTCTGTGAAGTGCTACTTAGAGTCCGGAAGGATACTGGCCAAATACTTGCTGCATCAGATAAAGAGCACTTTAAATACAAACCCTATACTTGTATGTCTTATTTGAAGAGTTTTATTAAATTGCCAGGAAAAATGATGTTGTTTAAAATCTACCTGGCTAATAATCTTTAACAAAAAAAAATCTACCATGTTCCACATAGAACAGGATGCTACCATTTGTTATGGTAGATATGAGTTCATAGAAATTTTCAAAGATGACATTTCCTTTTTCCTTTAATGTTTTATTAGGTAAAAAGCATTTTTGTATTGTTACTTATTACACAAAGAATACAGGGAAGGGATTTTCTTTACGTTGAAGGTATAAGAACACAACTCGCTTTACAAACAACTGAGTAAAGTCATGCTACAGTGCAACTCAAAAGTCTGAACAGAAGCAGAGCAATTTTACAAAGAATCAGCAAGCAAAACTTCTGTCATTCTCCTTGACTTTACAAATAAGGAGCTGTTGTACATGGCTGCATTTACTGTGTGTGAACTAAAACTGGTGCAAAAATAAATTCCTCCTGCCTAACTTAGGAACTAAGTTGCAATGGAAATGGGATCACACCAAGAGAAGCAGAATGAATTCTCACTTTTCTGCAGTAAATTCCATTTAATTCCATTATTTAAGTATCAAAATATATCTTGCCAAGAAGAAATGTATTGTAGCATGTTATGAGCACCTTTCAAGTATTGTCTTACTAACTAATGAGCAACTAACAAGACCACTGTTAAAGCCTCCTGATGAGATCTGCAGGCTGATGCTGGAGCTCAATTAAAGGAAGACTGGAATTACTAAACTTTGCTAGAACTTTTCATTTCTTACGTATTTTTTTAAGATGAATTGATCTCAGTGTTTCTGTAAATGTAAATGGTACTGATGACCGTTGTGACAGCTGGTACTATTTTCTAAAATCTTTTTGAAATTCCAACAGTGGAAATGGAATGACATTTCCTATTAAATACGAGCTGTTTAATCAGTAATACTTGTGTGCTTTTTCAGGTGATATTTCAGTGATTCATCTTCTTGTTTTGTATAAAATCAGCTGACTTCAATAGGGTCAGGAAATTTTGCCATTGACTCCAGTGGAAGTAAAATATAATACTTTATTTTGCTGTCAGATGTTGTATTTCTTCCTCCCTTTTCTGCTTCACAGGAAGAGCATACCAGTGCAAATTCTGCTGTGATTAAGCCCCTAAGAGTGTATTTATAGAGTCGGGAGGCAGTGGTTTCCCTTCAATACCCAGATTAGACTTAACTTTAAATATTTGCCTGCAGTGGTTGAATTGCTCTTTTTCTACAGAGTTTTCTCTTAGGTGTATACTCAGGTCTCTTGGAGCTTAGTGATTCCTTATATTCCACTGACTATAAAAAGGAAAGGGGAAATCTACTCTGCATTGGTCTTGTACCATTTTGTCGTTGCTATGAGTGCTTTAGAAATGCATATGTAATATTCAGATAAGGTTATACAGCTTTAACTGATAAAATAACTTGTAACTTACTCTTTTCACTTTTTTCAAGCTGTTTCTGGGAACAATGATCTCTATGTGTGTGAGATCTGTTAATTTTCTGGTGCCAGTACTCGCATTATCAGTGCCCTGATGACAAGTCGTGTTGCTTGCCCTGCTGGCAGGCCCGGTGGTGCTCTGGAGCTGGGCCCTCTCTGCCGTGTACACAACCTCATCATAATTCTGCCATGCTGATGTCACAGGTTCTGTTTATCCTGGATTTTGTCATTGTTTGTTTTTGAAGAAATGAACTCAGCCTTTTTGCAGTTACACCACTAAGTGACCTGAAGATATTCTTTCCCTTTCTTCATTTTTCTTTCACGTTGTAGCAAAGGTGTTGTGAACCGAAGGTAAAGGAATCTGACCTACCCTGAACTGTCAAGCTCCCTAAAGAGGAGTTCCCTTTATTCATGAAGCAGGATATGAAATATAAAGTGTCTTGGCAAACTGTATAGAAATCATAGAAGAAGGAATGCCTGAAGATGGGCATTTCTTACCTGTACTGTTCATTTGCATCCAGCATTCTGTGTTGCTACAGTCACTTGGAAATAAGGAACTGTTGTCCTTGGCTTTTCTGTTTACTGTTTTATCCTATTCATGAAACTTGAGCCAACCAGATGAAGTAAGTGGGTCATGTGCAAGGTCTTATGTACCTGCCTGTGATTAGTGAAAGAAAATACTGCTGCTGTTAGTGGAGCAGGACGGCTATTCCTCTGAGTGTTAGCTTTATAGAAGTTGTTTAGTTGCATGGGAACATGAATGACATTCCTCTTGAAATACCACACCTTGATATTACAAGAAAGTCAAGATGTTTCTCAGTCTGTATCTAAACAGCCAAATGTAAATTAATTTTCCAGGTGGTGGATATGAGTGGGTGTCTTAGCTGTGTCCCAGCTCCTTCTTGGGCTGGATCCAAATACACAAATCTATTCATGTTTCCTGACTTCCATGTGAAGAAAATTAAAGCATGCAGGTCAAAAGGGAAGTTTTGACCAGGTGCTCAGTTTTCACAGCTGTGTGAGAACAATCCCAAGGCATGCTGTGGGGCATGTCTGCCCCGTGATTTAAAGGTAACATCTATTCACCAACTTTTCTGTTGCCTTTTTACTGCCCCTAACTCCAGCTGTGATATTTAGGTACCTAAATACCTCTTGGGTATACCTTAGTTCCTCATTCATGAAATTGAGAATATACCCCTTGTATTCCCTCTCTGTCTTGCTTTGTTAGATTGTTGGGATTTTGGAATAGAAATCCTGCATAAAAGGTGGTGATAACCTGGATATATGATGATGCATTTGTGAATCTCCTGCTAGCCACAGCATCACAATTGTCAATTATGTTGGAACATACATAGGACACAATATAAGAGTTTCATCATTTTAACTTGGGAAACTAACTTGGTGTTTTCAGTAAAGCACTTCTGTGGATAGAACTGAAGGTGTTCAGGAACTATGGGAGTAACCAAGTTAAGCAGGGAGTACCCGTTGCTTTTACTTGTTTTTGCTAGCTGGAGCTAGGAGGAGGGGAGATGCCATTCTGTTTGCTTGTCCCTTGAAAGATGACAGCTGGGAGCTGCAGGGAAATGAGATCTGAGTCACTGCTGGGTATCAAGTCAACAGTGCTATCTTGTTACTGTGGTCTGATGGAGGACAGCCCCGCTGTGTTCAAATGCAGTATCAGCAAATGATCCAACTGTTGTGGTTTCAGTGATGACTGGGGTTGATTTATGGGGCCATGCCATGCTAGTTACTAGTTTTACTTCATTGTTGTACAGGTTGTGTTGGTAAGAGAGACATAAGAAGATTCAGGGGATGGAGCAATTGAGGATTCTGGCAGTAAACTTTTAGTTTTGTCTTTGCATCTCTGGTGATCCATTTAGTAGGGAAA